GAAATAGAAAAAACATATTCGCAAAGTTGTCTCACTGATTAGCTCAGTTGGTTGAGATGGTTGAGCAGGAGGTCGTGGTTCAAGCCTCGGCCAGATTAACACTCAGGTCTTAAAATAACTGAGGAGAAAGTGCTGCCTTTGTAATTACATCTACAAATGGTTAGGCTTTCAAGTGGCTCTGATGACCACTTTAAATGGCGGTCCTGTCTCTCCACTCTTCATCATTACTAACCAATAAAGGTTTTGCACATTCACGTGCCGGCGCCATAATCCAGCTTGGACTGCCTGTGGTTAGATGGCAGAACAATAAAATCCCCTTACTCTTGGGAATTGAATTCTTTCACATGTAAAAGGATTGTTGCCACCAGAAAAGGCTTGCAATCAACTTAACAAAGTGGTGTTCCAATACCATTCTACATATCACAAACACCATGCTCACCAGATCTTAGAAAGGGATAGTCCAGAAGTCAGACTCACTTTTCACAATTATGTATTTAGCTCCGAATTATTATCAGCTGTGTCAAATCCTTGAACATATAACCCTATGAACATACCTTTTAAACACTAAGATATCCTGATATTTCGATTTTCCCTCGAAAAGGACACTATTCACTTCTAAAGACATTGCCTGTCCTGGCCATTGAGAATTCACCTCAGAAAACCATCCATTTTGAATTCTATTCATTGTTAACTGCTGTAAACTCCTTAAATACCCTGTAATATGCCAGAAAATCGCGTTAGTATTAGGAAAGAGTATATAACTTTACARTCAGAAGAGGTTTTATAGCATTACGTAATTCTTTATGAGTATAAGTTGTATGCGTGCTGGTTTAAATTTCATATGTTTTCCCAAGACACGTGGTTTCAAGTGTCAAAATTAAGTATTTAAAAAATTACTGTTTTGAAGCGTTAAAAAAGTATAACTTACCCTAATGAATCGTAGTAAGCCTATAGATCTTTAGTGAAATAAAATTTTTTAAATATTTTGAAAGAAAAATATAAAATTTCTCGACGCAAGAGAAATTTCTCATGAATGAGAATGTGATACTTTAGTACAGCGGTATTGTTGTATAAAAACACAGGTATACCAAGCCTTAGGAACTCGTATCAGAAAACCGACTTCCGGTTCCTAAACAAATCAGCTTTTCTATATCTTTTTTCTTTTCCTTSACAAAAGGATATTTTTTCAGGTGGATGTTACATCATTTAGGACATTTTTTGCATTATTTTAACGATTTTTCCGATCAGTTTGAACCGGAAATACGTAAGAATTTTGATTTTAATTTTAGTTTAAAAAAATAAAGTATTTTCCCTGGGTTTCCTGTGGTCTATGAAGACAAAATGGCGGCAGTGACAGGAGCTTCAAACCCTTCAAATCCAGTGGTGTTTTTCGACATTTCAATAGGAGGACAAGTACGTTATTCAGCTAGTTTTAATTCCTTAAGTATATTTTATCTGAGGGTCTATCTTTTCGTTACTTTACAGGATGTGGGACGGATGAAAATGGAACTTTTTGCAGACGTTGTCCCCAAAACAGCTGAAAATTTTAGGTACAAAAATTAACATTTCACCCCGTTTTCTTCTCAATTCACTGAAAGAAAGCTTAATCATAGCCTCATTTCATATCTATCCAGCTAAGATAGCTAGTTTTTTGTTTTGTTTTGAAGAGTTTGTGACATAATTTTGAAATTTTGTACATTTTGACGTAAACCACGTGCGAATTTTCAAATCATTAGAAATTATTTCCTATAAGAGGATTTATTAATTCAGTTTATCTGTTTTTCTTTCTTAGACAATTTTGCACAGGAGAATACAGGTTAGTTTGTTTAGTACACTTACTGTTGTGACTGGTATAAATATAAATATATATATATACACCTAATTGAAAGAAAGTTGTCGGGCTCAAAAAAAGGTCATATCATCAAAACTAAGACCGAAGGGGAGCATGGGAAGACAAAATACCGCAGCCAAACAGCTCTCCAGCGTAAATCTTTGGAAAATGGCTTTGGCATGTTAATCTAGGTCAAACGACTTTGCTCTACTGTGCATTTTTACATGTCTATATGCAAATATAATACACATTTCGGAGTACCCAAAATCCTTTTCGGTCTTAGCTTCGATGATATGACCTTCTTGTCAACGTTTTTCAATTAGATGTATATATATGAATTGAAGAACGACTCCTGAAGGCACAGAAGCTACATGTACATGCAGAAATTATGATACTTTTGCATATGCATAAAAGTATATCAAAATTTTGTTAGAAATTATGGGATACCATCTCAGATATTTTTCTCAGAAAGCCCTAGTGATAGGCAACTGGAAAAAAATATCAGCGATGATATCCCATAATTTCTGATATACTTTTGATATGCTCATATGTATGTATGAAAGGATCAAAATTTCTGCATATTGCTGTATATATATATATGGGCTGATCTAAGTCAGGGCATGGCTAACTCACAGATTGAACCCTGAAACAACCTCTGGGCTGATCTAAGTCAGGGCATGGCTAACTCACAGATTAAACCCTGAAACAACCTCTGGGCTGATCTAAGTCAGGGCATGGCTAACTCACAGATTGAACCCTGAAACAACCTCTGGGCTGATCCACTGATCTGACGCTTTTATTCTAAGATCTTAAATTTTTAACATGTTATTGAACTTATTATTTTTTTATTTATAGAAAAAACAACTTACCAGTTGGATACAAAGGAGCAACATTTCACCGGTTAGTGGACTTTAACTACATGTAGAGTTTAAAGGCCCTGACAAGCAAACCCAACATTTACCTAATATTTGTTAGGTCAAATATTAGGATTGTTTGTCATGAAATGCTGACAGTTTATTAGGCTCTAGGTGATTATAATTATTATGTTATATTATATTATGTTGGATGAATGTTGGATCAAGTTTGATTTTGATTTCTATTTTATATTTTCAATGTCATTTCTAGAGTAATCAAAGATTTTATGGTACAAGGAGGAGATTTCATGAAGGTAAAGAATCAACTAAAGAATATAACACAACAAAGGCTTTGCAACATCTGGTGCTGGCACAGGGCCATAAGCAGGGGGGAGCACAGGGTGCACGTGCACCCCTCCATAAAAGCTTAAGGTCCGCTCGTCCATCTGTTTTTTTTTGTTTTCATTTTTTGGTTCTGCTTTCTTTTGGTTACCCTTTTTTTTCTTTTTGGTTCTGCAAATTATTGCCTGTGCACCTCCCTGCAAAATCCCTAGTTATGCCACTGAGTTGGTAATAAAAAAAACGATCAATGGTCCAATTTTATTCGATGAGCACCCTCCCTGTAAAAGTTCTGGTTACGGCCCTGTGGCTCCCATAATACAGGTTGAGCTGCCTGTTGTTAGATGGCAGAACAATAAAATCCCTTTGCTCTCGGAAATTGAATTCTTTTTTTATGTAAAACAATTTTATTTTCAACCATACTGTAGTATAATAGTGCTCTGTTTTGCTACACAGGGTGATGGTAGTGGTGTATTTAGTATCTATGGTGAGCAAGCTTTTCCAGATGAAAATTTCAAATTAAAGCATGACGTTGGTGGCCTTCTATCAATGGTACATATGACTAGTTTTTTAATACTCTTTTCAATTCATAATTCCTAGTACCAGGCTTAAGATAACTGCCAGACATCGGACAATGTCCTGCCAGAATTGGAACTTTTCCAGTCAAATCCTTGCATTGCCAGTCATTTTGACCAGTAACGTTTAGCCTGAAATAAGGTTTGACTGAGCTAAAACTAATAAACCAGTTTCGAATTCCAAATTACCACTGTGTTCCTTGATTACAGACTCATTTGCACAGGGTTAGCCTCGTATCAGTGTTTAAATATTCACAAATACCAACGGTAAAGTAAAGAATGCACAACTTCAACAATACAAACACTTTGAAACTCGACGGACCTTGACTGGAACACGTGAATATTCTGCACAAACGCGAGGCTAACCCTGTGCAAATGAGTCTGTAATCAAGAAACACAGTGGTAATTTGGAATTCGAAACGGGTCTATTTAGCCTGTGATAATGACCAGCGACTGGCGCCATTCTTTTAAGCCATGTACTTAAAGTAAATAGATTAAAAGATGCAATTAAAAATGTAATCCAACTCCATCTATACCAGGTGATGACTAGTGCTGATAACAGGCAGATTAAGATTCCTGTTTTTTCTTCCCGCAAACGGCAAACACAACTATGTTTTCATTGTTTCCCTACATTTCACTTAACCTTTTGCAAACCTTCTCAGCAAAGACAAGCATTCTTTTGTTTATCTACTACTTGGAGATTTTTGCGATTCCTTTTCACTAATTTTAAAGAATGTCTTAATGGTCAACTGACGTTTCACGTTTGCCGTAAACGAGAGTCTTAAACTCTCTATTGTGAATATGTACTTATTGACTGAGTGGGAGGGCCATACGGGAAAATATTTGGCTCAAGGTCATGTCGTATGGACCGAGCGCAGCGAGGTCCGTGCAAATGACCGAGAGCCAAATATTTTCCCGTACGGCCCGACCTAACTCAGTCAATAAGCATTTTATCATATGACCCTCACGAAAATAAAAATAATTAAAGAAAAAAAGCGCGCGGATTCGAGCAGGGCCGGACGGGTTTTTCCGGCCCGCTTACGTCAACCCGTCCGGCCCCCATCACGTGACTTTTTCCAATGGTTTTATTAGAGCGCACGAGCAGGGCCGTACGGGTCATATGATAATTAGTACTAATGACTTCCTTTATTTCATCAGGCAAATAGTGGTCCCAACACAAATGGATGTCAAGTGAGTTCCAAAGATTATTCTTGCAATATAATTTTGCATTTTCCTTTAGACTGCCTAGACTGTCTATCTCAATACACAATTCTTTTTTTTTGTGTTATCATAACTTTAGTTTTTGTTAGTTGGGAGTAACTTAATGGGACCTTGTGTCTGTTAGTTGTTCCTCACTCAGTCTATCTGTCTTGTACTTGTATTTTCTTGCATTATTTTTTTCTCTCTTTGCCATGTTTTTTTGTGTATTGTAACTTTTGTATTTTGATTGAGTGGAAGTCTCTAAATAAATAAATATACAATCAGAATCCATCAAAGCATAAATAAACTATCTGTTAGCACTTGAGAGTATATGTCCAACATTTGCATATTAAGTCCATTTCAACTTGAAAATGATGTCATGTTTGAAAAACAGTGTTCACTAAATCACTGGCTTTTTCTAACTAAACCTTTGGGAATACCAAAGTTAATATTAGGAAAACTACCATAAGATCCCAGTTTTATACCACAGTTGAACTTTTTGACATTGTGTTTTACCTAATTTTTTAAGCATAGCTTCATAGATCATTAAAGTAATAGAATGCACTCTATAAAATACATGTACTGTTATACAAAAATATAAACTAAAATATTCACCCTGATATCCAAATAAAGGAACATGGTACTGGTAGAAATTAAACATTCTTTTTACAAGTGTAGAGTGCAAACAATTAATCTGTGAAACACTATTTACTAAATAGTACAAAATAGCGCTAATTAAAAAATAGAAAACAATGGAATTTGCATGAAATTGTGCTATTTAGTATTACTAAAGTTTCACGGTTATATTGTTTGCACTCTATCAATATTTTACTTTCTGTTTTTAGTTTTTCATAACGTGTGCCAAATGTGACTTCTTGGATGGAAAACATGTTGTATTTGGTGAGTTTTGAGAAGACAAGCATATTGTACTAAAAAGGTCTTAAAATAACAGCTGACATAGGATAATGTCCAGCCAGAACTGGCTTTGGTCTAAAAGGTTTAACCTCAGACACTTTTAAGATTTTTTAAAACACTTCTTCCATTTTTTTTTTCACTTTCCACTTTAATTTTATTGGTTAACTAGGGAAACTCATCGATGGGCTTCTGGTCATGAGGAAAATAGAGGTACATTTTCTTCATTTATCTATTCATTCAAATATTCATTCATCATAATATGTCCATCTATCTATTCTTCCACCTATTAACATCCACCCACGCATCCATTCATCGACCTACCCATCCATCCGTCCGTCCGTCCGTCCATCCATCCATTTATCCATCGACCCACCCATCCATCCTTCAAATATCCATCCTTCCACCAACCCATTCATTACAAATATCCATCCCATCCCATCCTTCCCATTCATTTATCTTTCCATCCCTCTATCCATTTGTTCACATTTTCATTTATTCATAAAATTCCTCCATCCATCCATTTGTTCACCCATTTGTTCACTTATTCATTTATTTATTATTCATTTTTCAGAATGTTCCAGTTGGTCCCAACAACAGACCAAAGCTGCCGGTCGTAATATCCCAGTGCGGTGAGATGTAGGTACAGTATTCAATAAGACATCCCATTGTAAGACAGACACTTACCATGTAGACTTCATATACTGGCGTTCAAACCCTACCACGCTATAAGGCATCTGCTTGAGACTGCCTTATTTCCAAGGGTAAGATCTAGAGTTCTTGTTTGAGCAAGATAAAAATGTACTCGCTGAGAGGTCTGTTTCATACTAACATGCTGGAAGTGTAGAACGTGAGCGAAACATGTACAGTAATTAAACTATCTACTGTTCATTTTTTTATAAAATAACTGTTAATGTTATTGATCTTGCATTCTCATTACTTTGGGGTGGGGTGTTTGCTATGACAACACTGAACACACACACTTTCTGTTCTGTCATTCCTACAGTATTGAAGATAACAGTTATTCTGACTAATTCTAATTGTATTTTATGTGAGGGATAGACTTGTTTATTGCAATTAAATATGATAGGCAATGCGTAACTTCCGGGGTCAGCTCTCCAGTATATAGTGAGAAGCATACAACTCTACTGGCAATATCATATCATCAGCGAGCGACTAGCAAAAGTTTTTCAGAACACTTGAGGAATGTTAAAAGAGTTTTTTAAGTTTTATCAGTTGTTTCTTTTTTTTTTGTGATTCTTTGATGATTTTACAACTCTTGCAGCAAATATTATGTTGATCGTATACACAAATATTTAATAACGATATATATGGATTAATCTTACAGTTCTTTAAATAACCATTGAAAGCATTAGCTATAGAAGTTATGTTATATTTATTTGCATACTTAATAAGCATGAATCTCTAGCACATAGCATGATGGGAAGCCCCGGGGGGTACTCCGCCAGAATTTGGGTAGGGGTGTTCCGCTGGGATTCTGAAAGGGGTACCCTGTTTATGATAAAAAAAACTCAAATTTGTGGACCCTGTTTATGACAAAAGATATAGTTTATTGCACTGAGTTCCTGTTTCAATTATCATGTCA